TTTTTTTTGGGGGGGGGGGGAAGTGTGGCAGAAGGCCACCTCTGTTTCTCCCCAAAAACTCTGCTCTGTGACAATTCGGTTAAGATGGGACCTACAGAAGGTACACACCTTGCCCTATCTCTTTAAGTAACCTGAGCTGGATACATTCCTGGGGGTGGGGGGCGGGGCTGCTCCCTCTGCCTGTGTGACTGGCATCACATACCTGGGTGAGGGGCTTGGGCTCCCTGGGGAACTAGGAACTGCCAGTCTGCCCAGCAATTAGTGATGCATTTCAAACCGGCTGGCTGACAGCCAACAGGTACTGACCTCATTTACCTGGTCCAATGGAGGCCAGCACCTGTTGGCTGTCAGCCAACCAACCTGAAATACATCACCAGTCTGAATTATCCAGACCTAAGAGATCAATGGTCTGGATAATTCAGAGAGGCAGTGCTGTTATGCACTGCAATTTTTCCCAGGTTAGAAAAGCACATGCACAAGACTTGCAGAACATTAGAAGTTTTCAGAAGTCTCATCTGAGGTCAAAACAACCTTGAGTCAGGAGCTGGCCTCCTGATGGGATGATGTGTAGGGCCAAATTCAGACCTGGTGCAAGCAGCTGCAACTCTGATGATTTCACACCAGGTCTGAACTGGAGCCAATGATTTTGGCCCACAGCCAAGACAGAAAACTTCGAAGGAACAAGTCCTTTGGGTCTGTAATCATCAAGCAATGAGCTCTGCTGCTTTGGAGAAAAGGTTTGTGTAGGCTTCACACTGCAGCTCCTGCCTATTTCAGAAATAACGAGCATACCACCTCAGCAATGACTACTCTGGTACTGTCGAAATAAATTGAAGGTGGTGGCTGTTTCTTCCTCCCCTACATTTCAGTATTGTATCCTCCAGTGAGGAAAACATTACAAAAATGCAAGGACAAACAATGCAATTGGCCTCACAGCCACACAGGTGAGGACTCTGTAGGCAAGTGGAAGACAAGGCTGTGGGAAAATCCTCCAGGAGAAACCACACTCCCTCTCACCACAGACAAGTTCCCCAATCAAGTAGCAACAGCTGGACCTACGCACAAAAGGCTCATATGTAATGTCTTTTCCTAAGTCCCACCATCCTTTGCTATGACACTCGAGGACAATTTTGGGCTTTTTTGTGTTTTAGAACACAAAAGTAGATTATGACTAGATCAAACTTTATCGTTCCCTAATGATTTGCAGCAGAACATTTTCTTCCTTTATATCAGTCATTTTTTTGCTATATAATTAAAGTCAAATAAACAAGACATCTTAAATGGCTTGCAAGTATAAACCTGCATTCATGTCTGTTCATACCAATGTATTTTGTCTCATTAACTGAATCTCCAAAACAACAATTTCAGCTCAAAAGCTAACATTTTAAAAAATGGCTTTGTGCAATTAAATGATCTTACTTAAACATCTTTGCTGGAGAACTCAAAACATAAAGGGAGGAATAAAATAAAAGAATTCTGATTTAAAACCAAAATGGCCATGCTCTTGGGCACTTTAAAACAATTCTTGTTTTTCATTTGAAAGTAATTTCTGCTGCAGACAACAGGTGTCCACTTTCTTGCATTGCTCAGGATGTTATAATTGAACATTTTGTAGTCCAGCCAGATTTTGAAAAAGCCACTGAGACAGGGAATATAGTTTAAAATATAGTTAGCTAAATGTTGCAAGATGTAGGAGAAGATTGGGAGGCCTGAGTGGATGATTACTGTATGAAGGATGCACTAGAACTCCTACTTAAGGAAGATTTACAAAATATTTGGGGGTCAAATTTTTCCTTTGGGTGGCAGTGGGTGACACTTTCTCATCAAAAATGGCAGAAGAATTTGATTATTATGAGAGGGAACATTTCATAGGTTTGCTAATCTGCGCCTTGTAAGGGGGCAGTGCCTTGCTCCACTCCCTCACCTCCAGCTTTAGTGGCAGGGTTGGCACAGCTATGCACTTCCATTACTCCAGGCGCTTGTCAGCTCTGTTGGTAAGGTGTGGATGGAAGTCAGACCTATGCTTAACTCCTTGCCTGCCTAAAACGGTGCTTTGTTTACTCTATCTTCTCACACCTAATGGCCCATGAGGCCATGCAAGAATGTGAATTTACAGGATTGACTGTACTTCTCAAAAAACCAAGGCACAGTGCTGGTGCACAAGCAGTGACTATAGGGATTAAGACTTATTTGGAGTTAAAAAGTTTGATAACAATGTATAAAACCAGCCCAGAATCTGTGCAGGGTTTTTCTTATCACCTACATTTTATGTATTTCAAAGAAGAGCTGCCACTGCCTTGGTAGCCAGTTTCAGAAAAAAGCAATGCATAATTAAAGCTAAAACCCAAAACCATGTCCCTGAAGTCCCAACATCTCCCTTCCATCCTGAAGACATATTTACATTTATAGAGATTTACATGCATACATACATACATCTATATAAATATGTGTGTGCGTGTATATATATATATATATATATTTACATTTTTATCTAGATATAGATACAGATATATAGATATATTTTTACATTTATGTAGATTGATATCATGGTCTTACATTTTCTTCCAATGTGGTGAGCTGCTCATCAAGTTTGACAGGGTCTGTACCTAATGGAAACACCTCTTTCCCTCTGTCATGAGTGTCTGCTGGCAGATCACCAGGGCCTGTGGATTCTGCTATCAGTTCCTCTGTGGCATTAATGACTTTTAGGACCTCCGTAGATATGTTGCAGAGAGACACAGCAGAGTATTTCTGTTTTGTTACAAGAATAGATAGGGACAAACAATAGTGTTAGGTTAACACAGACATGGATTATTTTAATATTGCCTCGTTTGCAGCTTAGTTTTAAACATGCCTTCTAAAACCCTATCTAGCTGGTTATAATGAACAAAATAGTAATGTTATGAAATTAGATGGTATTGGAATGTACCCTTCCTTATTCACACACACTCTCTCACACACACACATTCTCCAAACTCCTTCAAAAGTGAGCCATACATCATGTATTTGGCAACAAATTTAAATCCAGTGATTTAAAATATAGTTCCTCCCCTGTAAATAATCATGGACTAATTTATTTATTAACTCAAATAAGAACATGGAAGTCTCTCTCTCCTGTGATCACAGGGACGTTCTTATTTGAACCAGGAAAACAATACTTTCTGAGGAGTTGTCATCAGTAATTTATCAGACCAGAAAGAAAGGCAGAGATGCTTTAAAAATCAAGACCAGCATGTTTAACTTTTGGTTTGTCTGCTTTTTATGTTCCATAAGTATAAATCAGTTTTAAATAGCAAGAAAAATTGCGTATCACCTCTGTTCTACTATCTCAGCTTTGTGGATACATTGCAGAAGTCTTACTTTGAGGATTGTCAAATTGGTTTTGGATCAGTGTAACTCCTCTGACTGCCACAAATCTACACCAGGATAACAGGATGATCAGGACCTAGGAGTCAGGATGCTTAACTAGGGCTCTGAACTTTTAGATGTGTAAGGCTTGATCCAAGTCCATTGAAGCTGAAGTAAATGCTTCCTTGTATTTCACATGCAAAGATGTGCTACAACTTCCACCTAAGTACTCATAGGAGTAAATCCTTGAAAGATGGCTTTAAATGCAATTCTGAATCCTCAATCCTGCAAACACTTGTGCATGTGAATTCTGGGACTATTCACGTGCAAACAGACCCTGTTGCAAAATGTCCAAATGATAGAGACCTAAGAAGGATTTATAGTTGCTCCTTTGACTTCCTTTAAGCATTCTGATTACCATGTATGCATTGCTGTCCTTTACTAAAAGCTAACCACAATAAATAGTGTGTCACCTGGTCACATTCTGTAGGAAATGGCAAAAGTAATTTTTTCCTGTTTCACACATTTACTATTACCTTTTAGTCACTTTCTTCCTTCTAAGTAGCTCCACCTTACCTATATGCTAGATGAGATGTTTATTGAAAAATTGTTTTTCTCAAATCATGTACGCATTCATTACTGCTTCTACCAATGCATTAAGGCATCTGCAGCATTGTTATTCAGCTAAATTACAAGGCAAATTAGAAGCATGAGATTAAAGAGAATGAGAACAAAAGCAAAGAAAGGATGTTGAAGGCACTTAAGTCGTTAGTTTGTCAGGGAGGCAGAGAGATGGTCATTAACAAACAGGATCTGTTATGAGGCAGAACTACTTGAAACATAAAGAGTTACCAGAACTAATCTTAAAATCCTACTGTTTTCCATTTATTTGTGAAAGTGCCAATTAGGTAAAAACAGATCAATAACATTATAGGAGGAAGGCAGAAATCAATGTTACTCTCTTTTTATCATTTGCCTTCACAAGCACCTTTTCTTGTTCTATCCTATTAATTAACAAAAAGTATACTGGACAGATATGCTGCATTTTCTTCAAAGTATACAATACTGGTATATGTTCTAAGTTTCAAGAACTTGTAGCCTGAATTCAGTGTTTATTTGTCTTGAAATCTGCCACACTTAACTACTATTAAAGAGTTTCTAAAGAGGATTGTGTTGAATTGGGGAAAAAAAAAGTTACACTTTACTGCCTACACTAAGATGTATCCCAAAATAGCTATTATGGAATAGATCAGGGGTCAGCAACCCCCAACACACAGCCAGGCCAGGCTCTGGGCAGGCCCCTGCCAGCAGCAGGCAGCAGGAAGGCTGCAACCTGCTGCACTAGGGTCTGTGGAGACCTGGCCTGGCTTGTTGCTGGCTGTGGATGCATGAGTGCCAGCCTCCAGATTGATGGCAGGGAAGGGGCTGGGGCTGCACTGTCACAACAAGTAGCATGCCCCTTGTGGCTCCCCCGTTGCCCACCCTGGCATACCACCATCTTCCAAGTCAGGGCTGGAGTGCTTTTAGCATTCTGCTCAAAATGCTGCCACATCCTGGAATAGATGATTTCACAATAGGTATTCCGGTACATTTCCCTGTGTAGACAAGCCATAAAAAATGAAATTTAAAGTAAAACACTTCTTTATCTGTTTGGTACCTTACTGAGCAACAAGAAAAGAATTCAAGGAAAGAGGTATTAGGATTTTCTAGGCCTCCTAGGAAAGTTCTTAATGGCAAGTGGAGTTCTTTTTAAAACTTTCCAGAGCAAGGAGAAAGCCTGCCTTACGATGAAAACATGATATTGGCTTCTCAGTGATTCTGAATATTTAGAAGAACACATTTTGAGAACACAGCAATTGAGATCCTATGACTCCCCGTTTTTCTTTAGAAGGTCATTACTCATGTAATACAACAAGGCTGCTGCAATATCTGGGTTGAAAAAATGAAAGGAATGCACTCGAACAAAAATGGAATTCTCTTTAAATTAAAATATTTCTGAATTATTAGATTTCCCAAACCCTTAGAAAACCCACATTCCTAGAAATTTCCCACTGAGGGGATTTGCAACTCAGCTTCCCCTGGTCTGTGCATGGCAGAAAAATGAGTGAAGCCTAATAATGGCCAAACAGAGGCATCAGAACAGCATTTTTAATGAGTTTTGGCTCCTCTGAGAGCTCTTAGTCTCCAACTGAGAACAATTTCTGCTCAATTATATTTTTGCATATTTTCTTTACTTACCTGAGCTGTTATAAAATCAATCTAAGGGTTTCAAAATTTCCATTTACAGATCCTGGAAGGAATATACCCATGGATTTTTTTTCTGGCAAATGCCATCATGAAATTTTATTCCTTGTTCCTTAACTAACTTTTGCTATTTTACTTGAAAAAAAGCACTTCTGGAGCTTCCTCTTGGCAGTTGCATGAGATGACAATTAGAAGGAAGCTTAGCATGATGGGGACCTCTGAAAGGCACCTTATGGCTGTTCAGGACCATAGCTTAAAAGAATGGAGTGCACCCCTAACTCTTGTATTAATGAGAGGCCAGTCAGATACCAGCAACCCTTACCCATCTGCATATTTAGCATACCCAAGATCCAGAGATGCACAGCCAGGGATTCAAGGACCCACCTCTATGAATACCTATCCGTCCTGGGGAATGTAGTATGGCACTCTAACATCCTCTTTACATGTCAGGGGGAGTCAAAGCAAGAGCAAGCAGAGAAGGCAAAGACTTATTTCAGTCAACACTTCAATAATACGATGGTTTTTGATGGAGTTATGCACCATTACAAAAAATGATTTCACTGCTCATAGAACGAGGCTGTTATCAGTGCAAGTCATTTGGGGCCTTGTTACACCTTATGCTGTAAGCTGCAAAAATGTTGATTGGTGTTAGTGCTACCTTGGAGTTTGGAGCAGTCGCACCCTTAGTTTAGAAACCTTCTCTGACTGTTCCTCACTTGCACAGCTGTGCCTTGCCTCTGCTGAGCAGAGGCAGGGTTAGGTGCTGTAGCTGTGAGTTGCCACTTGAAGGCTGGTGAGCCAAGACATGCTTTTATCCTTGCTCTACAGGCAGGGGTGTAGGAGATCCTGGGATATTGGAGGAATTCAACTTAGGCGGCACATCTGTGAGGACTGGCCACAACTAAATGGACCAGGATTTGGGTAGTGCAGATCAGAGATAATCCTTCCCGATGTAGGCCTAAACTGCCTTATCAAAATATGCGTTAATTGCACATGTAGATGCACCCCTTTACAACTGTATTGCCTTGGACACACAATACATTTCATTTACATATAGAAATAAAGAGGCTGATGGGATCAGGGTTTGGTTAAATACCTGAACCTGCAAACATTTGTGTTGTCTCAAGAAAATCAGTGGACATGAAATCCATTAAATTACATGCTTAAAGCTTCTGTAGGATCCAAACTTAGCTGATAAAGCATAAGGAAGTATCTTTCTCTGAACTTCAGTGGGGTTTGGTTCAGACCTTTAAACTACAGGGTTTTAGAGAGAGAGACAACATGCAGTATTCCCTGGGCAGACTGGGCTCAACCCTCATGGGAGCTACATTGATTTATGGCACCTGAGAATCTGGACTTTAGTCTTCAATGTATAGAACAATACTGACTATGGTAAAAGTAACTATGTGATTGAATTCTTTCAAAAAGAATTAAATAGAAGCTATACTACATTTAAAAAATCAGCTAAAATTCATAGACACATATGCAGCAAAATAGTGTTTGTAGGTAGACATTGCAAACTGATAAAATGCCATCTTGGCTGACATTTGTTACGTGTCTCATTCATTTTCCCACTGAAGGAAGGGCCATCATTAATTCCTACAGGTGATTCAAAAAGACAGCCATCACAACAGGACAAAGTCTCTCATACATCAGCCCTGTCACATAGTCAAATAACTAATAAGGATTTGACAGACACAGGCAATTTGGATTACAAAGAACTAGAACAGAATAAGTAAATACAACCATTCTTTGGAAACACTGGACAGATTCTGATCTTGGTTATACCAATATAAAATATAGATTTCACTCTACTGATTTTAACTGCAGTCAGTAGAATTATTCTAAATTTAAATACCTGTATCTGAGATTAGATTCTGATCCTCCACTGAGCTCAGGATCACTTAATACTTAACTGAAAAATAGAAAAAATATGTTCTTTTGCTGTAATTAATGTCCATATTCATGGAGCACACTGTGCAACTACTCTTAGTTGTGTTTTTAATTTACAACGTTGGCACTCAGAGCTCTGATGGGCACTGGGGAAGAGTTCTAACACTAAAAAAATACTAAAATAAGCATAGTATATGAATACAACAAAATCATATTTTGTTGCCCTTTCAATCTACAGCAACAGATACAATATAAGCTCTCTATAT